TCTTATTAAAATCATGTCCTTATGATGAATATTTTAAATGAAAGTGGTTTTTAAAAGAAGTTAATGATTTAAGGGAAAAAAGTACACAATATGAACAAATTCCATTTAAAATCTGGAATCACACAAGCACTTGAGGGGAAAGTTGAGAAAAAAATAATAAAGAGGGTAGGAGACAAAGCAAAATATTCTCAAAGGCTTTTCTGAAGATTCAGACATAGAATCTATTAAGTGAGAACATGTATGCATAGAATCTTTCCAATGGTTATGAGTAATCATTTAGTTTATATTCAAAAGTAATCATTTAGTTTATATTCAAAAGTAGTAGTTGGGGTGCTCTGTCCTGCCCACAAAAATCATATGATACATACAGATTTAAAAAGCAAACAAAGAAACAAACAAAAACAAAAACAAAATAGGGCCATAGCTGGCATGGTGGCTCAACAGGCTAATCCTTGGGCACAACAAAACAGCTCAATTGGCTAATCCTAGGGCTTACAAGCCGGGATCCCGTATGGGTGCTGGTTCAAGTTCTGGCTGCTCCACTTCCCATCCAACTCCCTGCTTATAGCCTGGGAAAGCAGCAGAGGATGGCACAAAACCTTGGGACTCTGCATCTGCATAAAAGACCCAAAAGAAGCTCCTGACTCCTGGTTTCAGATCAGCTCAGCTCTGGCTGTTACGGCCATTTGGCGAGTGAACCAGAGGATTCCTCTCTCCCTCTCTCTGTAAATCTGCTTTTTAATAATAACAATAATAGTAAATAAATAAAACAGGCTAATCCTCCACCTCCAACTGCCATCATCCCAAATGGACACCGCTTCACTTCCTATCCAGCTTGCCAGAGTCCAGCTCCAGCTGAGTTAGGAGCTCGAGAAGGGTGTGTGGAGTCGGTGATAAGAAAAGACACAGACACTGTCACTGAGGCCTTCTTGCTACAGCTCAAGAAGCTGTCCTGTTTATTTACTTAGACACATCACAAGCCTCTGCACAATCACTTGATTGTTCTATTTTTACTTCATGACTAAGTTAGTATGCACAGATGTTTCATTATTTTATTTTTTACTTCATGGTCAACCAGGTGCTCTTAAAGATAATTCTGTAAGTTACTATAATCAGTTTATTTAAAGCAACCCGTTATTCATTCTTCAGTAGTGGCCATTGGGTGACAGCCAGGACTCCAAGGCCAAGGCACATGCGATTACTTGCTAATCAGTAATACATTCCTACTACATTTTCACAACTTATCTATCATTTAGTGGGAGAAATACATCAAAAGAGAAAAAAACATAATGATCTAGGACAAAAAGTTTCAAACATTAAACCCCCTACAACTGCAGGCTCTATAACCTCATAAACAATCAAACAATAATCAAAAGTATGGATCTATGATGTTAATATAATAACCCTATAATTCCTCTAGTTAAAAAATTATAAAAGCAGCTAAAACAGCTATATTTTCAATGTTCCAAAGAAACTGCAAAGACAGACTAACCTTTGAGATAACAATAACTATATTTATTGCCATAGCAGTTTCAGCTCTCACTCCCATCACTTGCATTAATATTTAGGATATTTATCAAGCCCTTTCCCAGAAGGTGTGCTACATGTCTGGGCCAAATTCTAAGACAATGGTTAAGTACCCAATAAGGTGTCCAGAAATGGCACGGGCTTAATTGTGCTCCTGTGTGTAAATTGTCAAAGGCCCACTCACCAAGACATTATCAATAACATTAACTCTCAAGCTCACGTTGGTTGCCAAAGCCATCTCACAGGGGCAAACAACAATGCCTCAATAGATTACAGAATTCTTAGTGGGGTGGTTGAGTGTCCATGCAAACGGGGGTGAGACTGTGTCAAGGTGGTCAGAGAGAAATCCGCAGGGCCCTGCCAAACAGCTGGAAGCTCCCCGAACCCTGCCAAACAGGGGAACTGTTCTCTTCACATCTTTGTGTCATCCATACCTACTGCATGGACCCCAGCAACAGCTCCCTGCTAATGCACCTTGGAAAGCTGATAAAGATGGCCCAGGTCCTTAAACCCCGGATCCACAGGGAGACCCAGATGAAGCTCCTGGTTTTGGATAGGCTCAGCTCCAGCTGTTACTGCCATTTCTTTCTCTTTCCCTTGCTCTGTAACCTACCATTCAAGTAATAAATAAATGTTAACAAAACAACAAAACAGGACCCAAGATAGCAGAGATAATACATTCTGTCACAGAATACAAAAGCAAAAAATAAAATTCAGTGCTCACAAGCATGAAAATGAGATACTCTCCCTTATTCTTTCAGAAACCTAATTAGCTTTCTAGTACTGTGAGAGGGTAGAAACGCACTCCATATTTAAGAGCGTTACAAATACACTGAACCACTAACAAGTACACAGTCCAAAAATGTTTTTCTCCCCAATATAAATGAAAAATAGGGATCAAAGGCTGACTGGCTCATTTGTTGCCCTGTAAATGTAGTTTTACTATATGCAAGTGTTTACAGATGCAGAAATGCTTTAATAAGACCTGCTTACTTCCAGCCCTGGGAGCAGATAGAAAAAGGAGAACCAGAGATTAGAAGGAACTGAGTGATGGCTCCAAATGGATCTTCTTACTTACACCCCTCTCCAGCCATCTCCAAATCCAGCTACATTCTAAAACGAAAACTTGAGCCCTTTCGTCATCTTCTAAACTCTATTTGGAAGTAAATTTGAACACCAGGACAAGGCTTTTGATTATAACACCTTGGTCAAGAAAATTACTTTTGCCTGCTATATCTCATTCAAGGAAGTTTCATCAGAACCATGCCAAATTTTACCACACAAACCTAAGTTCCAAATCAACAACTGTCAACTTATCCAAGAAATACAAGAGTGTTTCAAAAACTCAGACAAAACAAATTAAAGCAAAAATAAATTAAACATTTATTTTTGGTACAAATATATTCAAAACTCATGGATAGTCTTCTTCATCCGTTTTCCATGACCTTTTTAAAGTCCCTTGTATGCAGAGGCTTCAAAAATTTTTGCACCAAATAAGCTTCTTAAACCTGTTTTCCATAAACATGTAAGCATTCTCTTACACACACAGCTCAAGAAATGATGTTCTTCAGAACACACAAGTGGACCTTACTCTACTTACTTTTCTGAAACAAATACTCATTGCCTTCATACATTACAAAAATAATGATAATAACATCACTAGCAGTTTGGGCTAACAGAAATGGAAAACAAACACCCAAGAAAGGCCTTGGAGATTAAACGCCAGAATCTGTCGGCACAAGACATCCTTTATTTTGTTGAGAGATGTGTTCATTTACAAATATCCAGAAAGGCTGTGCACTCACGCAGGTAAGTTTATCTGTAAACTTAATTCAAGGCAGTGCCACCGTACTCTTGTAGCTCCTTCAAAACATCTTATGAGCACTTACTCTGCTCAAGTCAGTGGCAGCCTGACCACCAAAAACTTAGTGCATTTTCTTACAAAACAAATTATTCTGCGATTGTGGTTAGTTTTGAATGGTCCTAAAAAAAAAAAAAAAGAAAGAAAGAAAGAAATCTTCCAATTCTAGCCCTCTAGTACAAACAGGATTACATCTGATTCCTAAAATACAAAAACCAATTCACCACAGAGTAACAAGTATAGACGTGATAGACCAGCTGAAAAATGAATTTCCCGCCTTGGAAATGGCAAATTCCCACCACAGTCAGTGCAGAAGGGCGTTCTTCCACTACTCTCACTAGGGAATCAGCAACACCGGGCCAGCCAGCTGTAACTTGCGGCCCCCTTAAGATAACACAGACACACCCCGCCAGTGTTGCTCCAGTTCCTATCAGTTACTACAGTCCCAGCCCAGACAGCAGGGCGTCCAGGAACAACTCCAACATCACCAACGCAGCAAAAACAAACGTTCATAACCTATGAAAGTGGTCCTGCATATCAACACAACAGTTCTTACCCTTGAAAATAACGAGGGAAGAAAACAGAGTTTCCCCACACCCTATACATCAATTGCGTCATGCGGCCGCCCCCAAAACTGAGAAGCTGATCTACAAAAACATCCATGGCACAGTATTTCAACTCCCCTGTTTCAATCAAACCCCAATGAAAACAACCAATTTGGCTAGACCCTACTTGTGGAGGAAAACAAACAAAAAAAGATGGTAAGTAAGAATTAGCATCTGAGAAACGGCTTCTAAAAGTTGCAAAGACAACGTGGACATCCTGGAAATCGGACAGATCTCCTGGAGCACCGACACGGGCAGGTGCCGGCTGGGATGGCCGGGTCAGACGGGTCACGACGGCCAGAATGGCCTGGACGCACCTGGCTTCCCCGAGTCCCCGACACCCTCCCACCCGCACCTGCATGGCAGCACACCCAGAGGGCACCGACTCGCAGACCAACTCACTCTGGGAGGCAAAATCCAGGCTAGACAGCCCAAAGCCAGCCAGCCCACAGAAGCCCCACACCTCGATTAGGACGAGGGCACCTGGCAATACACCTTTCTACTAACAAGTGCCACACAACGCTCTGCTGCCGGTGCCCAAGGACTCGGGGACACACACCGAGCTCACCCCAGAGAGTCCCACCAGGCACAAGCCACCCGCAGAGGCCCGTCAGCGTGGGCAAAGCAGGACGAAGCCCTCCGGGCGCGGGAGACACACACTCCGGAGCGGCCGGGCGCCCGGGATGGTCCCGCACACAGCCGCACACACTACCGCGTCCTGCCCCGCGTCCCACGAGACCCGCGACCCCGTGGACAGAACCCGAGTGTTCTCAGACCGGAGGAGGGTGCAGGACACAACACACAGCACCCCCCGGCGCCCAGGAGCCGGCCACCGGGACCCCACGAAGGCAGAAGGCCACAGGGCCGCCGTCCGGCGCCCCGGACTCCCCTCAGACTGTCCGGAGCCGCCAGAGGCCCCAAAGCACAAACAAACACCGCAGACCTCCACGTTCATCAGCCAGAGTGCTCTCCCTTCTCCCACCACACACTAACAGCCCCCCGACCACCTGTACGGGTTCTGGGCGGCCTTCCAAAGGCAAGAGAACCCCCCAAAACGCTCCAGAAGGCAGAAACCGCCAACTCCCTGGCTCGGTGGCGGCCATCGCTGCAACAGAACGTTCTTTTGCGACATCTCCCACAATGCCCACGGCCTACAACTCCCAGAATGCACCGGGCGCCGCCGCGCTTAACCCTTTCGGAGCGCCGGGGCAGGAGAGCCCCGCTCCCGGTCCCTTCCCTCCCCATCCCCCCCACCCCCGCCAAGCCAAACTGTTGCGCTTACTTTCACCCTGACAACCCAAAACTAACTTGGGGCGTTCTCTGAAGTTCTTAGACAGATGTCTTCTCCGCAACTCCCTTTACACACTGACCACCTCAGCTGCCCAGAACGTTACCCCGACACAGAACTGTGTGCGCATCTCCACAGAACTCCCACAACGTCAAATGTCGAACTTTTAAGGGCCACACTGGGCTTCAGTTCGCCTGCCCTTTGGCCTTTTTAATTTTCCAACGTTTTTCTAAATTATTATTGCCCAGGGACGCTGTACTTAACACTAGGGATTTAAAAAGCTGATTTCTAAGTTTGCAGAAACAACATGCAAGACTGCCCCACGCCTGTCACAATGCCTACTATTTCCTCATTTTATAAGACGAATTTTCTTACATATACCGACGAAAAAAAGTCCATGCAACTCCAAATACACCCTATTAGAAAAAAAAGTTAACAATAGGCAACGTATCTTTTTCATTTCCGAGTTTATTTTTTTTTTCAAGAGAAAGCCCTATTGTGGCAGTCTGCTTTCTCTTTCTCTGAATGGATAATCGGAAATAGCATCTATCGCTCCTTTTTGCCCTTCTGATTTTAAAATACCAATGAACAACAAGTGAAGAAATACCTTCATAAATAATTGGGAAGAAAAAAGCTAAGCGTGCATTCTTTCAGGAAACTGCACAAACAAATTTTACGCATGAATGGACTCCTTCCAAGTCTGTCATTTTAATTAAAACTAGGAATTTCAGAATGCATTTCTTTTACATACTCTTGCCTTCATTCCCATAAAGATTGACAGCCACATTTAGAGATAACAGTATAATCAATAAAAACTAAGGGTCCAGATCTGCACACTCAGACGGTAACAGACCCAATCCTGGAGCTGACTCAGGGACAAAATAGTTGTTTGATATTTGATGCATACACTGAGACAACAATTAGAACTTTCCCAAATTACCTGCCATTTTTCTCGAACCCAAATGTAAAATCAAATCTACCCAAGTTTGATTTTTCTACCAAAAACATTTTGCTGTTTGAAAGAGCACCCAAAATAGCTCACGAATTTCCAATCGCAACATTCAGATATCCTAACACACAAAAACCCCATAACCTTGTTGGAAAGATACCATTTTCCAAAAATGAAATTCTATAGAATTCCATGTTAAATGTGTCCCTTAATATTACATTTGGCTCAATAGTAAAATTTTTATCAAGCAAAATACAATGAGAAATTACTGCTCCATCATTTATTTTTTTCATTCCTGTACAAGATATATTTTCACAAAGATTTAGGGCAAATAGTATAAACCAAAACTTAAAAATTTATAAACAAATACTTTTGGAATTTTAGTTCATTGTGCTATTTTAGATTCTATATTTTTCTGATTTTCAGTTAACACTTTAATTAGTATCCAGGTAGGCAGGAAAAGTTGTATTTTTTGTATTTCTCTAATTTTAAATAGCTGCCAAGCCATAGAAATGCAATGCCTATTTGATATTTTAGTCTCTTGATGTCAAAATGCATGATGATTCATAAGGAACACTTAAAAGCAAGTCAGAAATAAAACTGCATTCATATATTCATTATCTGCTTCCAACTCTCAGTGCACTGAGATGATAGTTGCCATTAGAAAGTTAGCAATTTTTAAAAAAATTAACTATCAAAATACAAGATTTAAGATTTGACATAACAGGTTTAATGCAAAATTGCATTAGAAATAATTTTAGGAATCTGCAATGTTACTATAATCTTTCTTTTAAAAATAACAGAACTTACTATATCCTCTATATCCTAATTAGGTAATTTAAGTAAGTCTTACTTTCTATATGTTTCATAATAATATAAATAACTTCTATAAGGAAAAAAAATTCATCTAGAAAAGAATTCTTCAAATTCGTACCAAAACTCTGGTATTTTTCTCTCAAAATTTTCAGATTCTGCTTTATTACGTCAATTTTAATGCATATGTTTTTTAAAATCAAACTCTGTGCTAAGATTTTCTTAAAAATATTCACAAGTAACTATATTAAGCTATTTAAACACAGGAGAAGTCTTGTGTGTTTTTGAAAACATACATATTTACATGCACATGGATAAAAGAAAGACATTGCCATCTATTTCATTTTCCAAATGAGTTACAAGTGGCACATTTATGACACATCTAGCTAGAGTTTTGGTTTCTTTTATCCTTTATTTTTACAGGTTACTTCGCAGCATCTTAAGATGTTTACTAAGACATTTTAATGGCATTTTTAGTGTATCCAGTTTTAAAATATCAATTTTTCATATATGGAACTTATCATTTTGAGAAAAATAAAACGTGCTAATAGAATTATAGCCAAAATAGAATGAGTTGTTAATATTAAAATATGCTTTCAAAGTCAGTCTGTCTTTTCTTTCTTTATATTACCAGTAACACATAATTACTGAAAAACTGAAAACAGGCTACACACAAAATTCTACAAGTTCTTGTTGGATTAAGCAAATTATTATTTAAATTTACATTCCGATCCTTAAAAATAATATTTTCCCAGCATGTGTGTAAATTCCAGAGTTTAACTTTATTCGTTATTACTATCCAAATCTTAATTAACTTTAATTCACTGGCCTGGTTTTGAAACTATCAAAATAACCAAAACAGTCTATTTTTTGTTATCACTTTGATTTACATTTGCGTTTAGGAATATTATTAGTGTCTAACAATATCTCTTGCTTCTGATTTTGCTAAATACTCTTAAAATCAGAAACATGACTTTTAATTTTGTTATGCCCTAAGTACTTCAAAAGATGGATCATGGGAATCCTATTATGTCCATCTATGAAAAAGTGCAAAAACAAGGGTCTAACTTGATTTATCCATAAATTGATCTTTTCAAATGAAAATTTCGAATTTGTTTCACTTAATTTAAAAATCCTGCATTCTGTCTTCTCCATACTATTTCCGAGCAGTTAGATGAGCAATGTGTAAGCATCTGACTTACTGCCTCTAACTGACATCCTTACTTTCAACTAATGCACAAATAACACAAGTCGGGTCCTTGCCTAAGAAGAAACATCTCACCTGCCAAGGCATCTCTGAGGTTCTTCAGATGATGAAACCGTTGGTATTTTCCTATTGAAACAAACAGTTATATTATTACGACCACTTCTATTCTGAAAAATCACAGTGGCATTCTAGGGATTGGCATTGTCTGGGCACTAGTTTTGGATAGCAAGATGTAAATATGATTAATTTAATTAATGCTGCCGATTAAAAAGCCCCATTTTAAATTTTATCACGGTATTGTCACCAGATACTGGTTCCTTATTTCCTTGATTGTTTAGCATTTCATTCTGCTACTTACATATTTTGGGCGCTTTATTTATGCCTCAATAATTTTAAAATTCTCTCAGGAAATTTAAATCAGTAGCTATTCTTATCTGTCTGAAGATGTTTTCTAATATGTTACAATGCCTGTTTAACAGCTAATACAGTACATAAAAAAATGTGAGGAAAAGAAGAACTGTTAAAAAAAATTTCTAAGTTTCTAAAGGTCTTTCTCACTTTCAACCAATTTTCCCAAACAGACATATTTAAAATATTACATCCTTTTGTATGTATATTACTACTGATATGTATAATACTACTCTAAGCTACAGTACGATTTCAGCTAAATTTTAAAAAATAATTATCTTCTCTCTCTGTTTTTCTATCTATAACTTTCCATCTCAATGCAGATTTATATTAATTAACTCAGACTTTCTTGCCACAGAAAAATTATTTTCTGCTGAGAAAATGATCAGATTCCTGTTTTTGTGTATTTGTTTCCTAAGTTCTACTATTTCTAAATCTAATGGGGGAAAATACATATTACACTATCTCTCCCCCACATTTCTTTGCCCAGAAAAAGAAAATGCTTTCTTCTGTGTGATTCCACAATATCTCACTTAACTTGTATTCATTATTTTATTTTGAGACACACAGAGAGAAGAGATCCTATCAGCAAGTTTACTTCCAAAATGCCAGAACAGAGGTAGTAAACCTAAACGTAAGAACTCTACCTGGGTCTCCCATGGGGTGGCAAGAACCCCATGAGCTGAACCATTACTCCAGCTCCCAAGACTGGCATTAGCAGAAAAGCACTGCTCAGAAACCAGAGCCTGCTTGCCACTCAGGCACTCTGATCAGCCAGCATCTTAAACCTCTGGGTAGAAACCTGTCCCCTCCCCTTAGCTTTTGGATGTTTTTAGACAAACCAAGGACATTTGCCTGACATTCCTCTCCCCTACGTTTGCTTTTGTATTTTGACACACAATCGCCAACTGGCTAAGGTTGCCTCTCCATAGTCCAGACAAAGCCCATGTTCACATTCTGCTACAGGTGACAGACCTCCAGTCTAGACTTTTCTTTGTTGTTCACCGGGACATCCCACGCATGAACAAATTTGGAGCACACAGGTGAGTTAGATCCACGGCAAAAAATATAACCAGACGTGCACCCTTCTCACATCCCTGAAGTACCTGGCTCAGAACTGACCTTGATGCTTCTTTGAACAAACAGAACCTGTAAAATCCATTCAGCAGGCGTTGCCAGCTTCCTCTCCTGTCCCTCTCTCTCGGTGGTCACTGACTCTTGTAACGCCTCCTCTCACCCCAAGGACATGACTCTTGTGGCACAAACAAGTTTGCAAATTGAAAGCTGAGTTTCTTTCTAAAGGTGGAAGAGTTGGCCACTCGCAGGCCCCACCAGAAGCCGCATGACCTAAGACTTCATTGGGAATAAAAGTTTGAGTTCTGCTTCCATGTCACCTGTTCCTGAGGAACTGAAGATAAGCCTGGAAACTCTATGGCGCCTCTAACTCTGCATCTCTAAC